GGGGGGGCAGAGGGAAGTTTTCAACCCTATGTGCCCCTACAGACCCAAATAATGGTGCAAAGTCCCAAATCCCAAATGGCACAAAACTTTAATTCCCAAATCTCTGCCCCAAAGAGTGCAAAGCCTCAAATTGCAAACCCCAAATTTCTGTCCGAAACACTACAACCCTCTCGAATCTTAAACCCCAAATGGTGGCAACCCCCAAATTTAAACCCCAAACCCCACCCCAATGGTGCTGCCTCCCTGGGAGGTCCCTGTGCCTGGGGGTGCCCCCCCCATCCCCAGTCCTTGGGGTACCACCATCAACCCCAAATTGCTGGCGTGAGAGAAATCAGTCCCATATTGGGGGGGGGGAGGAAACACAGGGGGTTTGGAGGTGCTTGGGGGTTCTCCCTGTCCTGGGTTAAATCTTGCTGTGGCACTGAGGTGTCTCCCCAGCAGCCCCCCAAAGAAAGGCACTTTCTTTGTAGTGTCTGGGGGGGCTGGAGGCATTTCCCGCAGACAGCAGGAGGGAGGGAAGGTCCCTGGAGATGCCGGGGCTCGAGAATGTGGGAATGCGGCTGGAGCAGCTGCCTGCAGGAATTTCCCCACATACAGACCTTCCTGAGCTGAGGCAGCTGGAAGGAAAACCCAGGAGGAGTTTGGGGGAGTGTTAACTCTTCCAGGACTGGCAGGTTCCTCCCCCTTGCATCGCCTCCTGCCACCCCCAAAGTGTCCCCTCTGAAGCACCTCCTGCTGTCCCCCAGTCTCCACCATCCCCCTCCTGCATCTCCAGTGTCCCATCTATCTCCTCCTGCACTCCACATCCCATCCAGCATCTTCCCTGCATCCCCTCCTGTGCCTTCAGTATCCCTGCCTCTATCTCCAGTATCCCTTGTTGCACCTCTAGTATCCCGCCCTTGCACTTCCAGTATCCCCCCTCCATCTCCAGTATCCCCCCTCCATCTCCAACATCCCACTCCTGCATTTCCAGTATCCCACACACCTTCAGTATCCCCCTTCTGCCTCCAGTAACCCCTCCATCCCCAGCATCCCCCCACTCCATCCCCAGTATCCTGCTCCATCTCCAGCAGCCAGAAACCCCCATCACACCCTCTCCCTGCTGGCACCCCAGGACCCCCCACCCAGGACCCCCTTGGCACAGCACAGTCCCAAAGCCAAGATGAGGATTCCCCATGATCCAACCATTCCCACAGCCTCTGGCACATGGGATCCCCAAAAACCTGCTTCCCTGCCCGACCCGGGTGCCACCAGGCCACTCCTCATCCCCATCCTGGCACAGGGATGCTCCAGTGTCTCCATGGGGAGACTTTTGGCACTGCTGGGATAATCCCACTGGTGTCAGGAGTCAGGACTGGATCTGTCCCTTGGCAGCTGGTTGTGGAGGAGGCCGGGAGCCAGGACACCACACACCCGGAGTGTGCTTGGCATGTGGGTGACCCCCTGACCCCGGCTCGCTGCGACCCACCAGCTCAGCACCACCTGTGGGCTGTCACCCACGGGCTCAGTGTCACTCGTGGGCTCATTATCACCCATGGACTGACTCACTGTCACCCCTGGCTGTCACCTGTGGCCATCACCCATGGGCTCACTGTCACCTGTGAACTCACTGTCACCCATGGGCTCACTGTCACCCATGGCTGTCACCCAGGGGCTGTCACCCATGGGCCCACTGTGACCCCTGGGCCCGCTGTGACCCATGGGCTCACCATGACTCGTGCATTCACCATCACCCCGGGTGTGCCATGGCCCGGCCCTCCCTGGGATGCAGGAGCTGTTCAGCTTTGATACCCTCCAAATCCGGGTGACCCACGGCACAGGGACAGGCACAGGGACAGCCCCACGGCACAGGGACAGCCCCACGGCACAGGGACAGCCCCACAGCACAGGGACAGTCCCACAGCCATGCCCAGGGGGATGTCTGAGGTGCCTCCCCTTGCAGCCCTGCTGGGGTGACACTGGGGCCCCCCCACCTCCCCCTGCCCATCCCCATCCCCATCGTGGACGGGCGATGCCCCAAGCCCCAGATGAGACCCTCGGGGCCCTCCCGCCGTGTCCCCCCCGCCGTCATCCCCGTGACCATGCACAGGGCAAGGCAGGAGATGCCCCCCCAATGCTGAGGGGGCTCCCTGACCCCCCCTCGGGACCCCCTGCCTGCTCCCCATCACAAAGGGGCTTTCTGGGCCGCTCTGTAAGCGGAGAAGGCGCGAGGGGATGGGGACGGGGACGGGCGGGGAGGCGGCGGCGGGGGAAGGTTTGGGGGATAAAAGGCTGATTCTCATTTCAAGGCCATTTTGGGAGGCTGGGGAGGGGAGGGGGGAAGGGAAGAGGGGGGGACCCTTTCAAAATATACAAAGAGGGGGGAAGCTGGTGAATGGTTCAGTGGTGATGTGGAAAAATGACCCCCCCGACCCTTTTCCTTCCCCATCCCTCAGCTCCAGCTGGGACACAGCCCCCACTGTCCCCCCGTCCCCCACGTGGGGATTGGAGCTGTGAAACAGCAACAAAAAAAAAGAGGAAAATAGTTGAAAATCGGTCACATTCCAGAGCGATTAGAGCCAGTCCTGGGTCCTCGTTACCAGCCAATTAAAAACAGGGATAACCCCTTCCCTGCCGGAGCCCGTCCCTCTGGGGACCCCCTGGGAGCCCCCAGACCCTGGAGGAAGGGGAACCAGGGGATCCCCTAGTGCCCAACTCAGGGTGTTCACGACAGGATTTCCACTCCTCTTCCGCACAGGCATCGATCCGGCTGCACTGCTTCCCCTGGGAAGGGGGAAAAGTGCTGCTGGAGGAGTCCTGGCTGGGGCTGGGTTGGGGCTGCATGTCCCGGTGTGGCACAGCCGGGTGGGAGTTGTGTGTCCCAGGATTGCATGTCCTAGTGTGTCATGTCCTGGTGTTGTGTCCCAGTATCGTACGGGATATCCCAGGATTGCACATCCCAGCATTCCATATCCTAATGTTGCAGATCCCGGCATTCCATGTCCTGCTGTTGCAGATCCCAGCATTCCACCTCCCATTGTTGCACATCCTGGTGTCACGTGTCCCAGGACTGCACGCCCTCGTGTTCCATGTCCCAGTGCTGCACATCCCAGCATCACCTGTCCCAGCATTGTTTCTCCTGGAGTTTTGTGTCCCAGGATTCCACGTCCCAGTGTTGTATGTCAACGTGTCCAAGCACCACGTATCCCAGGACTGCACATTCCGGTGTTGCATGACCCAGCATCACTCATCCCAGTGTTGTGTGTCCCGGCACCGCGTATCCAGGTGAGTGTGTCGTGGCCTGGGATTGCACATCCCAGTGCTGCATGTCCTGGTGTTGTGTGTCCCAGCATGGCATGTCCCAGGGTTCCACATCCTGGTGTCACATGTCCCAGCAGTGCCTTGGAGTGGCCTGTCCCAGGATGGTGTGTCCCAGCTCTCCATGTCCCGGCATCACATGTCCCAGGACTGCGTATCCCAGAATCACACATCCTGGCATTCCATGTCCTGATACTGCATATCCCAGCACTGTTTGTCATGGGCCTCATCTCCCAGGATTCCCTGGCCCAGCACTGTGTGTCCCAGTGCTGTCTCGAGTCCACGGAAGATGCAATTTTTGAGGGAAATGGGTGTTCCAAGTTGGATGCACTACATCCACCTGTCCCAGGATCACCCATCCCAGATTTACTGCCTATCCTGGTGCTCTATCTCCAGGCTCTGCAACTCATCCCAATGCTGCACATCCCATCATTAATCCCAATGCTGCCTGTCCCAGCACAGGCTCCTCTCTGCTGGGATCAAAGCCTCAGGTTTGGCACCCACCAGCCTCATTTTAGGAGAAAAAAGGTCTGTTTGGGACCATTTTTCCAGGTAAAACATTACCCGGAGGCTCTGGGCAGGAGCCTCTTCACTGCCTTTCCATTTGCCCGCAGGTGATCCAACAGGAACCACCATGGAGAAGATCCAGGGGATCCCAGCACCCGGGTGCTTCATCCCCACCCCAAAACCCCCACAGATGAGCTGGAAAGCACCTGCAAAGATTCCCACTGCTATCCATCAGCATCCATCCCTCCCATGCCATCTCCCTCCCAGGACAGGACTTGGGGGATGGTGACCCCCAGGTGCCCATCCTCGTGCCATTCCCTTTTCCAGCCCAAATTCCCAGGGCTTTGCAAAGTCCCCCAAGTCCCCCAGCGCTCCCAGGCAGTCCCCACATTCCCAGCCTGCTTACACAGAGGTGGGATAACCAACAGCCCTTCCCCCTCCCGCCTCTGCTCCAGCTCTTTTCCCCAAAATCATGCCAGGGAGACGGGAAAGGCCAAACATCAGGGTGGGAAGTGGGGGTTTGGAGGATGTTTAGTGGAGCCTCCCAAAATTGTGCAGGTGTGGCTGCTGCCCCAAGGCATCCCAAGGTCCTGGCCTTAAACAGTGTCACCAGCTTGTTTGGGAAAAAAACACCCAAATCTGGCTCCATGTGTCACAGGGGGATGGGATTTTTGAGGGAAGTGGGGATTTTGGGCTCAATGTGTCATCCAACCCTGTAAAACTTTGTGCTTGGGAGCACAAAGGTGCAAAAACCCCAAATCTGCCCTGGCAGGAGCATCTGGGGCTGCACCCCACGATGCTGTGGAGGGAGGGGAGAGCCCCAAACAGGGGGAAAAAAGGGGGAAGGGGGAAGGGGA